TCACTCATCATGAGAGAAATGCAAATCAAAACCACAATGAGATATCACCTCACCCCTGTCAGAATGGTTGAAATAGTGTTGGTGGGGCTGTGGAGAAAAAGGAATCCTTTTGCATTGTTGGTGGGAGTGCAAACTGGTGCAGCCACTGTGGAAAACAGTATGGAGTTTCCTCAAAAAGTTAAACATAGAACTACCCTACAATTCGGTAATCACACTATTGGGTATTTACCCCCAAAATACAAAAACACTAATTCAGAGGGATACATGCACCCCATGTTTATTGCAGCATTATTTACAATAGCCAAACTATGGAAACAGCCCAAGTGTCCACTGATAGATGAATGGATAAAAACATGGTGTGTGTGTATATATATCTATACACATACTATATATATATATATATATATACACACACACACACACACACAACGGAATATTACTCAGCCATAAAAAGAATGAAATCTTGCCATTTGCAACAACATGGATGGAGCTAGAGAGTATAATGTTAAGAGAAATAAGTCAGTCAGAGAAAGACAAATACCATATGATTTCACTCATCTGTGGAATTTAAGAAACAAAACAAATGAGCAAAGGGAAAAAATGAGAGAGAGAGAAAAACCAAGAAACAGACTCTTAACTATGGAGAACAAATAGATGGTTACCAGAGGGGAAATGGGTGGGGGGATGGGTGAAACAGGTGATGGAGATTAAGAGTACACTTATCATGGTGAGCACTGAGAAAAGAATAGAATTGTTTAATGATTGTATTGTATACCTGCAACTAATATAACACTGTGTATTAACAATACTGGAATTAAAATAAAAAACTTAATGAAAAAATAAAATAAAATGGTGTCAAGAGCCTTCCAAGTTTTCCAACTCTTCAGAGAACATTTAGCTCTCAGGAATGCTTGATAGTACCATGGTACAAACAGAGCACTCACCAAACACATAATGTCACCCTGAACTTGCTCCAAAAACTCACAGCTCAAAGCCTTGCCTAGGAGACCCTCTCGTTTCTGTGAACTTCCAATTTTCCCCTCTCCCCAGGTAAACTGGAAGTGATCTAAATGATGGGAAGCAAATCAAACAGCAGAGTCACACACCTACCATTTGAGTGGACTGACGTTATACATGGAAGCCCCTAGAACTGTGTCTAGAACCATCAACTTTTTTTAGTGTATGTTCCTACATAGGGTTTTTAATAATTACAGATGTGATTATACTGTATATACAGCTATACATTTTGCTTTTTCACTTATTTCATCAGTATTTTCACCCACATTACATTCATTACATTTTTTTTAAGTTTATTTATTTAAGTGATCGCCACACCCAACATGGGGCTCAAACTCACGACCCTGAGACCAAGAGTCGCCTGCTCCCCTGATTGAGCCAGCCAGGCGCCCCTCATTACATCTTTTAAATTACTTTGTCATAAAATACACTCATGCTTAAAAAATAAATAAATAACATAGAAGTGCGTGAAGTGAAAAGTAAAATCTCCCCTCCCTTCTGTTTCCTAAACCCAAGAGGTACTAGTTCTGGTAAAGTCTTCCAGCGCCTTTTTATCTATGAGTGTCTGTCTGTGTCTAAGCAAGCGTGTTTATGTATAGATTAATTTTTCTTTACATTTATGGGATCAATCTAAACATCACTTTTGGCAACCTGCTTTTTTCACCTAGTAATGTATTTTGGGTTGTCAGATTTAGCAAATAAAAATACAGGGTGCCTTGTTAAATGTGAGTTTCAGATCAACAAGAATTTTTTTTTAATGTAAATATGTCTCAGATACTGCATGAAACAAACATACTAAAAAACGATTCATTGTTGATCTGACATTCAAATTTCACTGGTCGTCCTGTCTTATGTACTACAAACACATTTCTGTATCTGCACTTTAGATCTGTTTGTTTAAGTTGTCATGTCTAAATGTGGCCAGGCAGTCTTGGTTGGTAATAGAAGTAGAATCAGGCGTAATTTTTCTCTTCTTATTTTTCCTTATTTGTCATTACCAAAGGTTTATCACTATAAGTGCTTTGTAGGGAGATTAGGTCCTGTGAGCTGGAAGTCCTCTTCACCCACAGAGCACATTGATTGGTGAGGTGAAGGAAGCCTGTGAGTGAGACTGTGGAATGTTCTATTACTCTGCCTTATAGAGGCAGAAGACCCCCTGGGGCAGCCAGGAGGAAGGAACTAAGGAGAAGACCAGGCCAGCACCTCAGGAGGCCCCAATCTCTGCTGACTTCCTCAAAATCATCTAAGTCATCCCCTAGTGCCTGGGATTGGTGGGGTTGGCAGAATTTTCTTGGTGGGGTGTCCTGAGCCCAGACTAGGACTTGTATAGAGCCCTAGGTTCCCAATGGGCTCTGGCCCCTTTTCTTCCTTTTTGGGGCAATCTCTGATCCTCTATCTGCCCCCCCACTCCCCACATGTGGTTGACTAGATGCCCTGAGGAGCACGGGAGACTTTGTACCTATGGGGTCTTCTGGAGGCCCTGATGCTGGACCCCAGTTCCAGAAGGGAGGTTTGGCAAGTGGATCATCTCCGCTATCTCGCTCAGTATTTCTCACATGGAACTGCATGAGATTGGGCAGCCAGCGTGGGGCTGACACGCTGATTTTGAGTGACTCAAATTGTTTATACCGACAAGGCCCTGGCAAAAAAATGTTGTCCCCTCCATCCCCACAACGCTTGGGGTGGCCCTGGAGAAAACAAGCAAAAGGAAGGAGCAGGGAATGGGAAGTTGGAAAAAGGAGGGTACAAGTTGATAAAAGTCTGAGAGAAACCAAGAAACACAGCTGAGAAGGAATCTGGGGAATGTCTATGGGCAGGTGTCTAAGAATTTTGTATATACTAACTTGTTTCATCCTCACAACCCTAGGAGGTAGGAGCTATGATCACCCCGATTTACAAAAGAGGGGGAAGGAAAGAAGGAAGGAAGGGAAGAAGAAATTGATTGGAGTCCAGAGAAATTAGGTAACTTACCCAAGAATACACAGCAGCTAGAAAGTGGTAGAGATGGCTTTTGGTCAATAGAGTTGACTCCAGAGTCTATGGTCTAAAACACTTGGCTACATGTGACTAATGTGGATTTTTAACTTGTTAACTGAATAGTGTGTGATAGGACTACTTCCCATTGCCCCCAACTTTCCAGTAAACTCTACTATACTCATGAATGACTTGTTATGTTCTAAATTTTGCTTTGTTTAGAAACCAGTAAAGAAGTTATTTCTTGTTTAGATCTATAAAGCAAAGAAGCAGAAATGCCTGGGCACCAGTGAACATGTGACCGTAAGACTTTCTGGAGTCCATACAAATCTTTGGGAAGGCATATGTATCAGTTAGGATACCAACAGGGAAAGCCAACACCCTCACAGGATTTAACTAAGAAATGTTTGGTGGGAAGGGTGGACAGAATTAAGGGAACTATGAAGGACGTGAAGCACCAGGGGCTAGCAAGAGAAAAGCCTTTATATTTCTTGTCCTGAAGGGGCAAAGGGAGATAACTGTGTTATCGAGTCTAGACAGAGCTGGGAACCTCAGAAGGCAGATCGCCTGCCCAGAGCTATGACCACAGAATGAAGAGCCATGGCAACACAGGAAAGAAGTAGAGAGAATAAATATCTCTTCCTCTTTCTCTTTCTGATTTCCGATATCCTGCAGGTGTTTCCACTGGCCACACCAACCAAGAAGCCAAAGGGCAGGGGACCCTGCTGAGGCAATCTAAAGTTCAGCTTCTGGAGACACAGAGGAGGCAGAGAAAGATGGTGGAGGGGCAAACATAAAATAACAGCACTGGAATTGGAACTTTAACACACCTGGGAGTGTGTGTGTGTGTGTGTGTGTGTGTAGAAAAACACTAGTTTTGGTTTGGGTTCAGGCTCTAAGTTGGGCTTCAGTTGTTCCTAGATATCCCCCAAAGCCCAGATATATCCTAAGGAGACTGACTCTGTGAAGGTATATGCTTGCCTCCCTAGGAGCCTGTGTATACCTTGAGGTCTCTCTGTGACTGAGAACACCTTTTGCGCTTGTCTGAGTCAGTGTGCCAATCTCAGGGCATGGCCGGAACCATCTGGCTTTCTGAGGCCGACAGCCAGGCATTGGTTACCTCTCTGGTGTCTTGCTGACTCTGGACTAGGCCCACGGTCAGAGGGGCTCATTCTCTTCCGATGCCAGTGATCCTGAGGAGCGAGGCATTGTAGACTATTTCTGAGTGTCAGCAGAAGTGTTCAGGACGTTGCACAGCTCATGTAAGAGAGACCACTTTATGACTCATTATTTTAAAAAATTATATAATGTCATTTGCAATCTTCACATGCTATGGAAGTGACACATGATTCTTATTTGACTAGTTATTTTCAGTGAAAGCTTCATTGAAAATAGTGGTTTTTCGTTTCATTAATTTCATTAATCTTAAGACAGAGGACTTTTAGACAAGGGTAATTATCTTTCAGAATAAATTCCTCCTATATAGGCTTTCATTTATTATCCTGAAAGTCCCATAGGGCCTACTTGTTTGGACCTGAAGTAATGCCATTTGACTCCAGAACTGCCGTCTCTTAGAAGAAGGTCAATACTATATGATCACAGTAAAACGTGACTGCCATTGTATGATCGTCTTTCTACTTTGTAAACCTGAAAATTAGAATAGGAACAATGGTTAAAGTTTTTAGGAAGCAAACTGTTGTGAAAGCCGTAACAACTCATTGGCAACAATTTGTTTTAGCAGAAAGTATCAGGTGCGTGTTGGCCATCCTGTCATCGATCAGAGGCAGTGATGATTCATATGCTCCTTGAGGATGGAGAAACGAAGGTTTTAGAAGGATGGGGCTGATGTGTTGATGTGGATTTTGTGGGGAAGGCTTATTCCAGATTCCGGTACTGGAGTCCTGTGGCTATGCTGAAGCCTTCTAGCAATTTCTGCTGTTTCTTCAACTAACCCAGGTGAGTGAGTGTTTCATCTGATTCTGATCTTTGCTTCTACCTGATACAGTGGGGGAAAAAACCAAAACCCATAATGTGGCTAATGTGATGTTCTTGATTATGTGCTGTAAGGTGATGCTGTGATATGATCTATGACATTATCTTTGAAATGTTTTGAAGAGTCATTTTTTTTTTAAAGATTTTATTTATTTATTTGACAGAGAGATAGAGAGCACAAGTACGCAGTGAGGCAGGCAGAGGGAGAGGGAGAAGCTCCACCGAGCAGGGAGCCCAATGCGGGGCTCGATCCCAGGACCCCAGGATCATGACCAAGCCAAAGGCAGCCACCTAATGAACTGAGCCATCCAGGCACCCCTGAAGTGTCATTTTGATAAGGGAAATCTGTGTCCTAAGATGGCCGACCGAGCCAGCGAGCCAGTCCCTGGCCCGGGGCTCTTCCGGGTTCTTCTTCCTGCCCCGCTTCGCGCACACGCCAAAAGTGCCCAGTATGCGGAAGTAGAAGTGTATAAATTACCCCCTTTGTTTGTGCTTGAGGCTCAGAACTTTGGAGAGACCACTCTCCTCTGAGCCCGCCAGCGTTAAATAAACCTCCTAACCTCCAAGATCTCCAGGTGCCGCTTGGTTCTTCCCTTAGGAGATCCAGTCCAGCTTCCATAACAATTTCATTCTTACTTTTCTCAGAGGAGCACTGGCCCTTTAGGTTAGAGATTTCTTGCTCTTTTTTTTTTTTCTCTCTTTGTTTTTCAGTGTTCCTTATCATCTTGGCTTTGGCTCTGTGGTTATTTCAAGGTCGCTGTGGTCCAAATGGTTCTCAGTGAACTGATGCAGCCTCTTAGGGTTGGCTTCCAGGTCCAAAGCCCTCCCAGGGGACAGGGGAGTGTAGAGCAGGCTGGAGAAGCTAGGAGAGAGAGGAGAGGGCCATGTTCTGAAATGCTATCCCGTTCAAACCGTCCATGTGAAGGATAAATTCCAGCAAGTACACCTTTCTGTGCCTTGCTGAACTTCTAAGATCTGAAGGCAAGCCCAAAGGACAAAAATCTTAAAAATAAAAAACCAGAGGGGCACCTGGGTGGTGCAGTCGGTGAAGCGTCTGACTCTTGGTTTCAGCTCAGGTCATGATCTCAGGGTTGTGGGATCAAGCCCCATGTTGGGCTCCCCACTCAGTGCGGAGTCTGCTTGAGATTCTCTCTCCCTCTGCCCCTCCCCCACCTCTAAAATAAATAAATAAATCTTAAAAAAATAAATAAACATAAAAAGCAGAAACCATAGAAGCAGGGCTAAACCCAAGATTCTCCCTGCCCCCCGTACAGCCAAGATACCTAAAGATACTCAGTGGAATGAAACGGCAGGCTGGGAAAAAATCTGCCTCACAGCAAAAGGCACTACCAAAAACAGACAAACAAAAAAAACTGCTGACAGGGAAAAAAAATGACAATAACAATTTCTTCTCTAAGGATCTGTAATCAGAGGCCTGCCCTTTCAAGGATCTGGGATTCCAATCTACACTACCTGCTCAGTCAGGGACACCCCAAACCCAGAAATGAAGTGACCCCAGGTTAGTGTCAGTCCTGGTACATATACACGTCCTCTCCAGAGAGAAATACCCTCATCAAGCTCCCACAGGTTATTCAAACCTGAGCTTATAATAAACAATTACCAGATGCTTTAGGAAATATTATACCATGAGTGAGACTCACCAGAACCCAAAAAACAAAACAAACAAACAAAAAAACAGTTCTAGACCCCAGTAAGATTTCAGATATTGGAATTAGCAGATATAGAACACAGAATAACTATCCATGAAATACACACTTAAAGAGATGTTACATATTTTTAGTATCCCATTTAAAAATAACAATTTTCCAATTAAGAAGATAGAGCCAAAATACTGGACAACAATAGTAGGTCAACTAAGAGGGAGTGATTAGAGGTATACAATTTTAAGATTCCTATATTTTTGGAAGCAGAATCTGCATTTTATTTTACTTGGAGCTTTGTTAAATTATATACAATTTTAAAGGTAACCACTAAAAGAATAAAAGTAGAGTGTGTAATGTACAAATAGAGTGAAAAAATAATCTGAAACACATCAGGAGAAAAAAAAAGAAACATGAAAAACATAGCAAAGAGATCACCAAAGAAGATGGCAGAAATAAATATAATTCATCAGTAATCGGAAGAAATGTATACAGTAGTCCCCCTTTACCCATGGTTTTGCCTTCTGCAGTCTCAGTCACCCACAGTCAACCATGGTCCAGGAGTAGGTGACCCTCCTTCGGACGTTTTGTCAGGAGGTCAAGAGTATCCTAACGCTACCTCATAGTGCCCACGTCATTCCCGTCACTTAATCTCATCATGTAGACATGTTATCCTCTTACATCATCATGAAAAGAAGGGTGAGGGGCAGGCGCCTGGCTGGCTTAGTCAGGGGAGCATGAGACTCTTGATCTCAGGATTTTAAGTTCGAGCCCCACATTGGTTGTAGAGATTACTTAAAAATAAAATCTTAAAAAAAAAAAGAAGGGTAAGTACAAGACAATAGGGTATTTTGAGAGAGAGAGAGAGAGAGAGAGAGAGAGAGAGAGAGACCACATTCACCTGACTTTTATTAGAGTATATTGTTATATTTGTCCTGTTTTATTATAAATTATTATTAATCTCTCACTGTGCCTAATTTATAAATTAAGCTTTATCATATGTACGTATGTATAGGAAAAACCAGTCTCTATAGAGTTCAGTACTTTTGCGGTTTTAGGCACCTGGGGGTCGTGGTTAAGGGAGGATTACTGTACCGATGTTTTTTTAGCCTCAAAAATAATGTTTCTGATTGTAAAAGTGCTTTCGCCCTCCCTGTGTGTGGCCTTGGAGCAGTGCCCACAGAGGGTGGTGCAGGGGCCATGGTGGCTTTCTCCTGTACCCTGGCAGCCCCTTAAGGACCAAGCATGACCTCAAGGTGCCTGGCCTGACGCAGCCATTAGCCAGCATCTGAGATTCTCCTCCTGGTGGCAGGTCACGATGGCAAATGTTTCTCTATTACGGCATCTTTTAGGATGCTTGTTTCTCACGCTGAGTCTGTATTCAACACTAAAAGGAAATGTGCCTCTGAGGGAAATGAGGAAGGTGGAGCCATGGAACCTATGTTTCCAAGGAGGAGATTATCTTGAGGGGTGCAAAGCAACCACCAGAACACCCAAAGGATGAGAAGGACCCTTCAAAATCTGGAAGCAGATCTCACTCTAGAGCAGATAATAGAAATGAAAGGAAAGCAAATCTTGAAAAAAACGGAAGGACTTGTGTTGGCTATCCAGAAAGTCAGGAAAGAAATTTTTTAGATGAATTTTTGTCCCAAGTCTGCTAAAGAAAAAGGAAGAGAGAATGAATTCTGGTGGAACAACAGGGCTCTGAGCATTGAGAAAATATTCTCAGAGCGTTTACATGGATTTTAAGACAAAAAAAAAAAAAAAAAAAGCAATGCTTTGCTGATGCTTTTTCCTTTAACTTTTACTTAAGATAGTGCTTCTAATAAAATGGATAAACATAGCTTATCCAAGTTGAAAGCAGGAATGAGAAGTACAGCCCATCCCATCTTAAAGAACTCTTACTGGTTCCCAGAGATCTCAGCCATCACTAGGTGCAGCCCACAAATAGCCTGAAGTACCTGATGTAGAGCTAGGCTGCCACCAGCTGGTGGACCATATTTGTTCCAGGAAGTACCACTGACTTGTATTTCTAGTGCTCGACCTTTGGACATTTCCTCTCTTTTGAAATGAAAGCTAAACCTAAAATCACACTTTATCCCAAATTGGCTTTGCTTGTTGCTATTTTCCACCACATAAATAGACACTGGAGCTCGCTGGGACCCCACTCTTAACTTCTCGAGAAAGGGGTTCAGAGCTGTCCAACATCTAGTTAACCACTGGATAAGCTGAGAGTCTTTCATTTGTAAGGTAAGAAATTCAACTCAAACTTCTTACGTCCCAAATCTGAATTTATTTGCTCCTATAACTAGGAAGTCCAGCTGGGGAACTGGTCTCAGAGACCCCCAACACTCAAGCCACGTGTGGATCTGGAGTCCGAGAGCAAGGTTTGCCTTGTTGTTCCCTTGCGCTCCACACTCAGCACCCTCACTGACTCAGAGGGCCTTTCCCCAAGGAAGGATCAGGATTGTTACAGCAGGAAAGCAAAGAGAAGAAAAAAAAAAAAAAAAACGAAAACAGTGTTTATCTCTTTTCAAGTTCTAAACATATTTAAAATTTTCACAACACAGATTTTTTAAAGAGCTTTGGATTTGCAAAACCAGAGACTTTTGAGAGAAGAAAGGCTTACTGAGAATCAAAAGAGCTAAACCCCAAAGGAATCAGGGGATGGGGTCTGTGCCTTAACCAACATATAGGAGAATAAATAGTTGGTGCTGGCCCCCACAGATCAAATTAGGATTGCCCAGATGTGGAGTTTGAAAGAGGAAGGGATGGAGCATGATCTGGAAGGAGGCTGGCAATTCTATGAGCAGAGGAGTGCACCTGGGGGGACTTTTCCAAGGGGAAATGGGGTCAGCACTGGGGCATTGCCCAGGCTTCTGCTCCAGCAGCATTTGAGACTAAGTACCTGATTTCAATCTCCTACTGAAATGAAAAAATATATATTTTAAATAATCTTCTCAAAAGCATTGATGACCTGGAAAAAAAGTAAAGTGTATTCAGGACAAAAGCTATAATAGGAACATGAAGTGAGAAGAACACAGAAGCTGCTCTTCCCAAACCAGTAAATATGAGTTTGAGGTTTAAGGGACTTGCCAGTTACAGAGTACAAGAAAAAAAAAAAGCCCCATAAAATAGGAGATATCAGCCTATAAAGCTGGGTTCTGTAAAGAGCCAAACCCCTTCCATGACCAGCTTCATAATTTATGGGGCTCGGTGCAAAATGAAAATGCAGGACACCTCATTCAAAATTATTAAGAATTTTAAGACAGTAATAGCAGAGCATTAAACCCAGTAAGGGGCTCTTCTGAACTCACTGCCCTATGTAACCCCTTGTGGTGTGAACTACGCGGGAGCCCAACTCCCACCATCTCCAGCAGACCTCATTTCTAAACAGCCACCACACAGCCTTCATGGGGGTTTGCAGCTGAAATTCATACTGTCTGGGTCATTCCAAAATACCTCCAGCCAGGAATTTAGTGTAAAGGAGACTTGGGTTGGTAGTGCCCCAAGGAGCTGGCCAGAATCCAAGACAAGTCCTGTCTGATGGAATCCAACTTCAATTCAAGGGCTAACATCAATCCCCCTACTTACAGAACAAGGTAAAAACAGTTCATCGTCACAAATCATATACTACACAAGGAAGCAGGCCACCATGAACAAGAACCAACAGAAATAAGAAAATTGTAAAAAAAAAAAAAAAGACCAGGGGGCACCTGGGTGGCTCGGTCAGTTAAGCCTCTGACTCTTGGTTTCAGCTCAAGTCATGATCTCAGGATCTTGAGATCAAGACTGGTGACGGGCTCCACGCTCAGTGGGGAGTCTGCTTGAGATTCTCTGCCTCTGCCCCTCCCCACCATTCATGTGCACTCTCTCTCTCCCAATCTCTCTAAAATAAATAAAATCTTCAAAAAAAAAAAAGAAAATTGTAAACAAAAAAAACTTACAAAGACTTTTCTATTGTTGGCCTTATCAGACATAGAATATTAAAAAGCAATATAGTATGTTTGTGTTTTTTTTTAATTAAGGTCCTGGGGTGACACTCCGCTACAGTTTTGCAAGATGTTACCATTGGAGGAAACTGGGTAAATAATACATGGGATTTCCCTGTATTATTCCTCATAACTCCATGAGAATCTACAATTACCACAAAATAAAAAGTTCTAATAAAAATTTGAGGAAAAGCTAGATAATATGAGCA